GCAGCCCCGCTCTTCTAGTAACCTTTGCGACCGATCACAACCAGCTAGCCATGAGCCGAAATTATTTTCCTGGTCAACACGACTCACGGAAAAATAGAGCTAAAATTGCAAGCCACACGAACTCCATGAGTAAACGTGCAGAATTTTCTGTTGCTCGCGTTAGCCAAGAAAAAGATACCAAAACCCGCGCAATGAAGTCATATCAAATACTGACTAGCCCACCTACCTTTTTCTGTTGGATACCTCGGAAAAGTCCCTACCAACAACTCTTGATCGATCACCTACCGTCAATCAACGATTGCTGATTGACTAATTATACACCAGCACCTGTTTTTATATATTTAATCATCGTTTAATCCTTATAAATATAATAGTTCAACCAGAAAATTGTACCAGCACCTCCACCACTTTGATACTCATGTTTCGGACCGTTCCTTTCCCTCATAAGTGGAGGCACCATCATCAACCATTTACCCACCATCAACCAATAAGCTACACTTCTCATACCTGAGGCATGTCAGCGCAACTCACCAAGCATGCGCGCTCGACCCATGGCCTGAAAAGAATTACTCGAACATGCCACGACTCACTTCACTTAAACAGCGTACTTTAAATTTTTATGAACATTATGAACAACTCTAACTTCCAAAAAGCCTCAACAATACATCTTACTTTAATTTGAACGAATACTTTCGCAGATTACTCTTGCAAGGTACACTTAGACAGCATATATACTATCCATTTTAAAATTATACGCATCCCCGAAATAAAACCTGCAAAAATCCTTTTTACTAACTCTTATAAATAAAACTGTGAAAAAATAAAGTGGAGAGCATACAGTATACAGAAGGACCATTTTATTAACAACTAGCACCCCCCGTCTCTGCTTCGCCCGAGACTAACTAAATGGAACACCGTAGTGTGTTGACAAGTAATCTGAAACGTTTTCAGTTAGAAATTTTACATTTATTACTAACTCTTCTCAGAACAAAAATCTTCTAACCAAAAATACAGTTGTTTGCAATCCATATAGTTTATTTGGTCAAATAATAAGCTGTAAAAATAAAAGAATATATAATTATGCTGAAAAGTATCGTGCGTTCCTTATACCATAAAATAATCGTTGGCCATAAGGAGCGGTTGATTTGCAGTTTCTCCCGTGTAATTAACGAAGAGGGCTATTTTTTAAAGATGATGTGATTTTAAACTCCTAAAAATGTACATTAAAAAAAATTTTTTCTCTCTTATCTCACAACTTTATTACCAGAGCAACAAAGTCATGGAGCTTAATCTCTACATTTTTTATTGCCAAAAAAATACAAATATATTTTCTCCTTATTTAAAAATCTGAATTTAGATCTTTAAAGATTTAAAAGATTACTGTGAGGGTAAAATAAAAAGCTGTTCTCTCACATGATGGATTCTTAATTTGTCGATTTTGAGGCTGATGTTCCAATCTCAATAAATTTCCTGCGTCAGTTTCTTGACGCCTAAAATTGTGTTCATTAGATACATTTGAAGTTTTCCTTTTAATTCACCCTCTTACGACTTCTGTAACCCCTGAAGGCTATTTTCTGTCAACTTTGTAAGGTTCTAATATATTTGTTGGCAAGGTAGTTTGACGTCCGATTGCCCTAAAAAAGACCGGTGAGCTTCTTAAGTAAAGTCTTTCTTGACTGAAGCTTACAGCAATTGTAACTGCCTATATACCTCAGGGTGATCTTCTCTGGCCTGCTGTTGAAGACCCAGACTGATCGGGGAAAAAATTACAAAGTCCAAAGATTTGGGGCTACTTGTACACGGAAAGACCTCTTTCGTTGAAAATCCCCTACCACAAGCAGTTATGAGTTTTTCAGTACGTGGTAAGGATATTACCCGTACCACGATCACGAGTCAGAATTATATCAGTGCCATGGTAGGTGTTCTTCGCCTATAAATTTTCTTCCAGCAATGCAAATTAGCGCGTGCGCAGAAGAGTCTTTCAGCTCTTGTGCTACATGAGTGTAAGTATGTATATGTACGTTCTTGCTTTGTTGATACACTTTGGTTGGTTAGAACATTATGTATGTGCTTTTTAGTACACCAGATTGTGTTGACTATATCCACTTATTACGATGAATTATAATTAAAGTTTAGTGAATAAACAAAAAGATTTACGTTTGTTCATAATTAACTACCCCTCACGCGATTAAAGAAAAGAATAACACACGATAATATGCTGTCATGTGTATATATGTCGGCGAATTTAACACACTGCTCACTCCCACCCCTACCACAGCCACTGAATACGCATACTTAGTATAAATTTTGTCGTGACTAACGTGAGGCTAGAAATTTCAATTACTAGACTGGCGTGCAAGGTTACTGGTGTGACATTAATACAATCTAGTTAGTTAATTACTTGATACTAAAAGTCACAGTCGGGGATTTTCAACAAAAAAGGTCTTTCCCAACGTTTCCTGGTATAACGTTGAAGACGTTGGTGTCTAAAGCACCTTTTTTTTGTAGACTCAGTTGTTTTGATGATCTAAGGTGGAGAGATTAGTAGAGATTGGTTCGTGATGCTTGCCCATTGGAGACTCCCGTTGGCTTAAGTATTTTTTTCCTTATAGCTGTTAGGTTTGCCCAGCGCAGACCTTGGAGAGGATCGGTGATTCCTGATTGAATGCTTAGAGTCGAGAGGGTAATATAGGGTCGTCAGTCACTGGGTTTCCCAGCCTTGCGACTAACAACTCTGCTCGTGACGTCTGCCAGTGAATTAGTGACTTGGTTTAATAGTGGCCGGCTTTACGTAGTCTTTTAGTCAACGAATAATGTTTCCAGAAATGGTAGTGAAAATTTATTTGTTGGTAAAGTAGTTTAAACTTACGTGGCCCTTAAAAGAACCGATGAGATTGAAGGTTAAGTAATGAACGTAAATACTTATATTGGCCCAAAAAAAGGCCAGTGGTGAAATTTCTAGTTATTTCATATTATTATTTTTGATGATGGAGAGCCAGCTGTTGGTAGCTTGACTCTTACCCTCGAAGTCTGTGTACGGAGACCGTACATGAGGGAGATACGCCGCTGATTAAAATATATCTCGTCTTCAGGTCGTTCCCCGGATAACCAACCGCTCATCGTTAGTCGGGAAAGTGGGCCTGGAGAATACCTTCTCTGTAGGTATGGCGTTGGAACGACCACTAAGAAGTTGGCAGTTATGACTACCCCCACTCTTTAGGGCTGTCTTTCCTGGCTTATATTTGTAGTAAAAAAATTCTCTGACAGCACCAGGCCGGATTGTGGTACGGCTACATAACTCTGAAGTGTTGGAGCAGGATGTGCTCTGGCTAGACACGTCTCCTGGTATTCCGCCGTATACGTCATAGGTTGAAATAAATTTTTTACTGGTGGCACTCGTCAGTTCTGGAGGTTCAGGGTAAAAGAAGACCTAGATCACTTGTCCATTGGAGAAGAGCGTCATCGGTAACCGGGATACCCAGCCGCACGACTATCATCTACATTCTCGATGCAGCTCGATGAACTGCCAGTAGATGATTGCAGAAATTTCTGCGACACTCCAGCCTATTATAACCACACTTATTTAATTTTGTTGCAGGTAGCTTTGATTTTATGTTGACGACATCTAGCGGATCCTACTGAACTAAAGTGAAAAGCTGGCGTATTTTTGCAAAACTTTGAGCTTATTTATTGCTATTGTTATTAAATTTTTTAAGAAACCATCTAAGAAATGTCAAGAATCGGTATGTAAAATTTCAGCAAAATTGGTTTAGTAGTTTTCGTGGTTAGCGATTTTCAACGGTTTTAGCGACTTTGTTTTATATATTATAAACAATCACTGAAAATACATTAACTTACTGTCAACAGAAAAATAATACAATACACTATTGAACCTCAAACTGTCTGCAATAAACTTTCCTAAAACAGGAGAAAAACTCCAGCTATAAATACTAACGAATACTCCTAAAAATATATCAGCATCGAGTAATTAAAAAACAGACCAATCAATAACGAAATCAAAAAAAATTCAAACTCACAATGTCTCAACACGGTTAATAATACAGACTAAACTATGAGTGAGAAATCTGATGGTCACTTAACATATAGTTATAGAGCTTCCATCTATACTTATCTTGATTTTCAGAAATAGACTGGGAAAACTATAGTAGTAAGGACAGACAATCTTGGTCGGAAAACTGGAATAGGAATGAGATGAATGAAAGTAAGTGTGATTAAATTTTCAAGTCCAACATATTAGGTATAGAAAAACATCAGCCAATGTATGTATACAAAACATTGCAAGTTCCAATCTTTTATTTTTTACTACTGCGTAAAACATTTGGATTTTTTTATCAAATAAAATAACGCATATCAATCATCAAAACATTATTTTGATTTATTGGGCCCCTTATATAAGAAACACTCAGACGACTCTGTCATCCATCTTATTAGGTACTATTTGCAGGGTTCAGCAATTGTCTCAAGCACACCTCAGCTGTTATTGAGTTTAACAGAAAGATATTTTTCAATGAACCATCTAAGTCACTGTAGCGACTTTTTTATAACCAACAGTGACTTTACTCAATGAGGTACCTGGGTGCAAACTTTCCTTAAAAAAGGAAGCCCTTGCAGGTCCAGATATCACCTAAAAAATTGACCATTTGTTTTAAAAGTGAGATAAATTGTTTTTCGCCATCCTGGGTTCTCTCATCGAAAAATTCCGAGAAAAATAAGCATAATTTTTGACGAGATTTGAACTCACGACACCTAGAGTATCTTCAGATAAGAGGCTAGAACACTAACCACGAAGCCATAGAAGCTCTCAATAATTTGTTCTTAAAATAATTATAATATCTTATATTTTGAAACTTAATCTTACTCCTTAACAAACAGCTGACTATTATTAAACTTTTTGCCAAATTAGAAAGTATCAAGGTCATAAAGAGTCATAATAAAAAAGTTGTTTTACACGTAAAATTTTTTAAATCATAGAATCTTACCTGTCTTAGTTAGGCTCCATCCATATTGAAAAGGCTTTTGTATAACTTTTTCTATTTTAGAGTATAATATTTTTTTTTCATTACCTTCAACTGCTTCCTTTATTTCTAACTCAATTTTTTTCTTTAAATGTGACTTGGTTTTTGTTTGTACTTGCTAAAAATTTTTAATACATTTATTTACAGACAATACGGGCTTATGGTTTCTATAAAAATCATTTCACTTACCCAACAATTTTTTTTTTTATTTCTGCTGTGCATCATACTTTGGTTAATAGATTTGCTTCTATTACTGCAAAGAAAATGAATTGGCTTTAATGAATTTTTATTAATAATGTCAAAACAATTGTCATTATTTCTTTGAGTCCACCTGCTGCAAAAAATTTATGTTTTCGATTTACTTTAACGTTGACACAATTAATAATTATTTGACACCACTAGGTATAACAAGCAAATATTAGTAATTTATCATCATATTAATTGGCATACACAGATGGCAGTACTTTTCTAAAATAAGCACTCACAGTCCCAACTCTATTCTTTCCGATAGAGAATATTCTTAAGATTGAAAATGTGAATTCGATTGTCTTATATTTTAAGTAATCTTCGAGAAATAAGTAAGAATCAGGAAAACATTTTTCTCAGATGAAGATCAAACACACAATCTCCTGATTGGTAGACGATTGCTCTACTAATTAAGCAACCAAGAAGCCGTAAATTTACTCACACCGTAAGTTCAGATAGCTTCTCATCCGTTATTTTAGCTATTTTTGACCCTTATCTTTGTTATAAAAAATTAGAAAGTTTTTTTAAGCAAATAAAGTTGTGTGATTTTCCTTTTCAATTTTTAAAGTATTGGTTATTAGAAAGGACATGGGTGGATCTGAGGGTATATAAGTAAAGGTATCTCCATCTATACATACCAATTGATAAGATGAAAAATATACCAATTTAGCTCATATTTATAAGAGTCACATAAAATTTTTATTCATCAATAAGCATAAGAGTTATTTTCTCATGAAGCTATTGAAATGAAGTTTTGAGGTCAAAAACAACCTCAAACTAAGAATGAGAACTTGTCTGGTAGCGACAGTGACTTCATTTCGATAACAAAAGAATGAAAAATGTAAAATACCGTTTATCATTTAGACCTGTAGTTAACATAATGAATTTTGTAAAAAAAAAAAGTAACAAATAATAAAACAGTATCATTGAACAGTATGAGTTTTCTATCTAGCGAGCAGACGGCTGAATACATGTAAGCCACTCTTCAGAGAACGCAGCGTAGCATACCAGAGAAAATAAGTACAGCTAAAATATGTAGCCTATGCCTTTAAGATATAACTTATTATTTTTAGAATTATTAAAATTGTTTGTATGAATCCATGTAACATATATTTTTGCAACTCAATAATTTTTTTCTATACGTGGAACTATTTTTGACCTATCTGGCTTCTCTATAGAAGTATGACTTTTTTTCTAATGCTGAGAGGTTATGTTGTAACAAAAATTCTTTGATGATTTTGTCAGCATAAGTATTAATATACCAAACCTGCCATACTTGACAAAAATTTTTTTTGACTTGCTCTTTTCAAGATACAATAAGAAAACGAGAAAATCAAGAGTGCATATATGCATAGTCCATCCCCCCTCTATTTGCGCGCATCGTTCATGTAGTTACCCTTTAGAAAATCCGTAAAAATGGTTATTTTGGATCTATCTAGCTTCCTTAACGAGATATGACTGATTTTTTAATTTTGAGAGGTTATGTTGTGCCATACTTTTTCTGAAGACTTTGTAAATGTCAATATTAACTTTTCGGATACGGAATATAAAGGAAAATATTTTTTTAATCGTTCTTTTCAAGATGCAATCAAAAAAGGAAATTATTGACGTTATGTTTGTGTATAGTCTAATCTCTCTATATTTATGCACCTCAATCATGTAGTTAACCATTAGAAACCCGTGAAAATTGTTATTTTTAGCTAATTATGCTTCCTTTTCGAGATACAGCGTTTTTCTTGTTTTCAAAGGTGAGGTTGTCGTATTATACATAAATAATACTTCATCCACGTTTTTTTAACATACATGTATACATATGAACATGTATGTAATGACCAGGACATGCATCACGGGCATATGTATACAACATACATACGTATACTTTGCCTCTAGTCTAGGTATGTACAGCTGTTTGTCTCTTCTTTCATCTTTTCTCCATACATTGCTATACCTCAGCTTGAGCAAGCGCATCGGTTTAGCCGTAGCGTAGAAGCATACATACCACATACCGTATACATGTGCGTGTGTATTTGTGTGTGTTTGTGTATTTAAGTGTGAGTACGCGCGCGCGCACGCCCGTGTGTGTGTGTGTAGTTATATTAGCAGCGTGAGGGTAAGGAAGCGTGTGATGTACATGTGTGTGAGAGAGCGAGAGAGATGGAGCAGAAGAAAGTATGTGAGAAAGGAGATTAAGGAGAGGGCTTGGACCGCAGAGTGAGTGGCTACGTTTTTTCGTCATCCATTTCTCCTCATGCAGCTGTTCACGGGCCAACATAAGAAGTTTCACTTCAAAAAACCATGACTAGGTCTCACGGCAATATATGCTAATGCTTGTTGATGGACTAGATATTAATTTAAGTTCACTAGGTATAAAAAACTACAACTATTAATACATTTATCATTTTATTTATTGGCACATATAGATAACAGTATTTTTTAAGAATGTTAGAGTTATTAGTCCTACCATATATGTACTGTCATGGGAGGAGGTGCTAAAATAGTATAAAAATGCAGGTGATTTCCTACAAAATAAGCACACTCACACCTATTTATGTCCTTTCAAATGACAAATATTCTTAAGATTAAAATAAAAAATTTAATTATTTTGATTTCAAGAAATTTTCAAGAAACAAGTAAGAAGTACAGCTCAGTTTTGCCTTGCTTTTATCCAAAGTCTGATGCGATGTAGTAGCATTTTTTACGGCTTTTTCTTTTGCTGATGCTTCATTATATGCCTTGTTGAAAGTTAGTTTCGCCTGTTTCAATAGTCAAATACGTGTTTTTGTGTCTTAAACTTTGCACACAAACTAGCTTCTGAGTATGTCATTGAGATTAGTATAAATGCAATGTATCGCTTATTTTTTTGGGGTAGACTTGAGATATAAAACGGTCATTCTTCTTGTGAAAATATAAGTAAAGGATCCCGCACAAACGGGGCCTTGTGCGGGGTCCTTTATATCAGATGTATAACGAGTGACTCCTTTTATGCGGCATTAACACTATGAGTATGAGATGATATGTGTATGTACTTTGTACAGTGATACAGTTAAGATAAGACATATAAGACAGAACATGGCCTTTGCCACGCACACACACTCTCATCGGGTATTTTTTAATCTAATTAAATCTAAGTTATTATTATTAAATAAACCTTTTTATATAGTAAAGACTGTACGTTTAGATTATTGCGCTTTTCTAATTTTCATGCACTGATTTTGCAGCCCATGATGATTAACAACTAAGGGTCTAAGTAAAAGTGTAAATCCAACACTAATAAAATAAAAAGAAAAGGTCAATCCAACACGAATAGATTATTTAAAAAAACGTTTCATGAAAATAATAAGAAAAATACTAATGATAACAGTATTTTTCTTATTATTTTCTTACAATATAACGGCAGGTTTTGGCTTCTTATTTTGTTTAAAACTCCTAGAGTGCAGTAAAAATTTTGGTGTTCGATGGAAAATGGAGAATTACAATGATTCTAAAATTAAAGAAATGTGACGAAATAGTGAATAGCCAGGGCAACTACGGTTGAAGTATAAAAGTTATAACACCAATTCAAATGGACCTCATAGTTATGCTGGCTTGAATAGCGAGAAATATTTTTTAAGTTATGTCAGTAAAAAAGCTTAAGTTTAGTATATTAAATGAAAAAATTATGTATAAAATTATTTTGTTGACTATGTAAATTTAACTGAAAGTAAGACAGAAAAAAGGATGAAAAGATTAAGATGTGACAATGGAAAGGAATATATGGATAACGATATAAGTAATTTTGCAAGTAAGAGCAAGAGCGGCAAGAAAGAATAGTAGGGTTATTATGGATATGTCTAGATGTTTATGAAAAGAAGCAAGGGTTCATAAAAACATATTTTGGCCAAAAATATAAAAAACATAAGCTTATTTAAAACAGAATTATCACTATTAGTGTTGAAAGAAATGAAACACTATTTAGAATTATGTTTGGGAAAAGCATAGTATAAAAAATTAAAATATTTATAGAAGTAGAGTTTTTGTAATAATACCAAAGGATAAAAAGAATTCAAAATGGGACAAAAAAGCAGATTTAGGAATTCTGTTAGGTTGTGAGAAGGTTATTTGTAGAGGTCCGATAAATAATGAAATAGTAGTAGCTACACACGTGAGCACGCAGTGGCTCGGTCAGCTGGCGTGCAGGTCAGCCCGCGGAAGGCCGTGATTTGATTTCCGGCCAGTGCGACTATCGTGATTAAGTACTTCTATGATTTCTTACATGAGATTTCTTACCACGCAATGCTCCTTGTGAAGAAATGGAATAACCTTCTCACCACTAAATGGCCTACCACTAAGATCCTTTGCTCTCGCTGTAGTCTAAGTGATATTATCCCCTTACCAACGAATTGAAATAACTGTCTCTAATATTGTAAACTGTGTAACCAATAATGTAACATGTAACCAATACTGTAATATGTAACAAATACTAATGTAAAATGTCCCTCACTGTACCAAGGATATGTGCACTCGTTTACAACGTAGCTTAAAAAAAGAAAAAGCTACACACGTTAATATCATCGAAGATGGCATAGATTTTATTGGATTAAAATCAGAGAATGACATAGTAAAAATTAGTTTAAATGAAAATAAAAATTAAAAACAGAAATGGTGATTTACATACCAACGGAAATAATCAAAATAAAAATTGAAATCTAAGACGGTCAACTAGGAAAAAAAGAGAGTCTGATAGTTATAAGGATGAAAATTGTGTA